CCAGGCCAAACTTCTTTACAGAGCACATGCTATGTGCTGGGGTTCTCTGCCGAATTTACACATGATTTTGGAATTCCCTACACTTTGCTACAACTGCACAATCATTCAGGGAACTTGTTTCTTTCCTTATTATTTATTTGTTTTTTGAGACAGAGTCTCCATTTGTCACCCAGGCTGGAGTGCAGTGGCATGATTTCGGCTCACTGCAACCTCCGCCTCCTGGGTTCACACGGTTCTCCTGCCCCAGCCTCCTGAATAGCTGGGATTACAGGTACGCACCACCACACCTGGCTAATTTTTGTTTTGTTTTGTTTTTGTAGAGACGGGGTTTCACCATCTTACCCAGCTGGTTGCAAACTCCTGACCTCAAATGATCCACCACCTCGGCCTCCCAAAGTGTTGGGATTACAGGTGTGAGTCACCATGCCTGGTCTTACTTTTCATTTTTAAAATTTCTTTTTGAGACAGGGTCTTCCTTTGTCACCCAGGCTGGAGTGTAGTGACATGATCAGAGTTCACTGCAGCCTCAAGTTCTGGGGTACAAGTGATCCTCCTGCCTCAGCCTCCAGGGTAGCTGGGACTCCAGGTGGTACCGTCACACCTGGCCTCCTTCAGGGAGCTGCTTAGTTTTTCCCCAAGTTTTGTTGTGAGTCATTTGAACCTATATAAAAGTTACTGTGGGACAGTGAACATTGATCAATGTTAATATCTTTCCATATTTCTCATTTATGTCACATAAATTTGTATTATACATACATTTTTTTCTGTATCATTAAGAATTAAAATAGAGATGTTTCTGAAGATGTCACCTTTTTACTCTGAAATATTTCACCTCTTTTCTGTAACAAGGATATTTTCTGATTTAACACAATAATTACAGCATTCAGGAAACTGAACATTGAAGTAATACCTTCATTTAATGTACAGCCCATATAAAATTTCCCAGCTTTCCCAATAACATTCTTTCAAAAAACTGTTTTGTTTTGTTTTAAATCTGGGATGCAGGCCAAGATCGCACAGCGTGCATAATTGTCATGTCTTTTTAATTTTCTTAATCTAGAACAGAGGTCTACAGACTTTTACAGTAAAGTGAAATGTAGAGGTTGCAGGCCTTATGATCGCTGTGACAGCTACTCAGAATTGTCATTGTAACACAAAAGCAGCTCTAGACGACATGTTAGTGAATAGGCATGGCTGTGTCACAATAAAACTTTATTTACAAAATCAGATTGTGGGCCACATTTGACCCAAAAGCCAGGTCCTGATCTAGAACATTCTCCTTCCACACCCTACCTTTCCTTAACCAATGTTTTATTTTTTATTTTTATTTTTTAACTTTTTTTGATACAGAGTTTCTCTCTGTTACTTAGGCAGGAGTGCAGTAATGCAATCTCGACTCACTGCAACCTCCCCCCACTGGGTTCAAACAATTCTACTGCCCCAGCTTCCTGAGTAGCTGGGATTACAGGCATGCACTACCACACCTGGCTAAATTTTGCATTTTTAGTAGAGATGGGGTTCCGCCATGGTGGACAGGCTTGGTCTCAAACTCTTGACCTCAAGTGATCCACCCACCTTGGGCTCCCAAAGTGCTGGGATTATAGGCGTGAGCCACTGTGCCCAGCATGCCCCACCAACATTTTATTATAGAATTTTTCAGCCACTAATAAATGGAAGTAATTTCACAGTGAACACCCACATACCTAGATTTTCCTGTTCAGATTTTATTTTGCGTAATCACATAGCTCTCCATCCATCTTAGTTTTGGATACGTTTCAAAGTAAGTTGCAGATATCAATATGATTTCCCCTAAACATTTTATTACCATGAACCACCTTAAAGAAAAATGCCAACCGGATGCAGTGGTTCACACTTGTAATCCCAACACTTTGGGAGGCCAAGATGGGAGACCTGTTTGACTTCAGGAGTTCAAGACCAGCCTGGGCAACCTAGGGAGACCCTGTCTCTACAAAAAATGAAAAAATTAGCCAGGCATGGCAGTGCCTACTTGTAGTCTCAGCTACCCAGGAGGCTGCGGTATGGGAGAATTGCTTGAGCCCAGGAGGTGGAGGCTACAGTGAGCTGTGTTCACATCACTGCACACTCCAGCCTGGATGACAGACCAGACCCTGTCCCTGTCTCAAAAAAAAAAAAAAAAAAATCCTGCATTGACAATTTTGAAATGTCCAGGAAGTTATTTTGCAAAACATTCTAATGTGGATTTGTCAGATTGTTTGCTGAAGACAAGATTCAGGTTGAACATTTTTGACAGGAATATCACTAATGTAATGACACATCTCCGACGAGCTCATTAAAAGTACCAGTTCTTGGCCAGATGTGGTGGATCGAGCCTGTAATCCTAGCACCTTGGGAGGCTGAGGTGGGCAGAGCAACTGAGGTCAGGAGTTCGAGACTAGCCTGGCCAACAGGGCGAAACCCCCTTCTCTACTAAAAATACCAAAATTAGCTGGGCATGGTGGCACACGTTTGTAATCTTAACTACTTGAGAGGCTGAGGCAGGAGAATCACTTGAACCTGGGAGGTGGAAGTTGCATTGAGCCGAGATCATGCCACTGCTCTCCAGCCTGGGTGACAGAGCGAAACTCTATC